TCCCTCTTTCTCTACATCTCTCTCTGGTGAGCATCCATGTCCTCTGGTCATAAAATAAAAATAAAGCCAGTTCGACCTCTGTCAGTCACAGACTGTGCCTTGGCCCTTCAGCTTGGTGTGAGAATTTAAGATGATGAAATTATAGTGGCTCCTGCAGAGCTGATGCTACGGTGAGGAAGATGGAAACTTGCCATTTGGATACCACGTGGGAAGAGCTATACAAAGAGGCATGGAGAGAGCACTGAGGCAGAATACAGAGGACCAGGCTCAGACTCCTGGAAGGGAGGAAGAAAACTAGCAGAGGATTCCTGAACATCCATTTTTTTAAAAATAAAAGCCATGTCCCAGTGAAAACAGAATGCAGCTAGGCGAGGTTGTTCTCCCATAACAGACAGCATACCAAGTACACTATTCCATCAGACAACGCCACGCTAAATACCGCCCTGTGCTTCAGAAAGGATCTGTCCTGACTCAGTCCTGAATTTTCATTTGTTCCTTTTGCAGTCATAAACATAGATCTGAGTAAGGGGTATAGTCCTCTGGTTCTTTAAAAAGGTAAACAAATGTCCTCTGAAAGCACAGAATACAGCGAAGACACTAAATAGAATAGAATTCCGGAATCAAAAGATCCGCTCTTCAGTGTGGTAAGAGAAATCACACACGTTTCCCGTTGCCAGGGAAGGTCTGGACTGTGCTCACTGGGAAACGGGCAGGGGGGTGATGAAGGGAGCCTGTGTCCTGCTCCCCAGTTCCCATGACTGCAAATGCCTGAACCTCTGTTTAAGGATTAATTTGATTTAGATAATTGCCATAGAATTAAAGATTATACAGGGCCAACATGTATTTATGCTTTTATGCAAATTTCAGGATAGTCTTTCTCCCTGAAGGGAAGCACTTGAAGATATCCAAGGGCCAGCCAGTGCATGGTAGCTAAGGCAACTGGATCCCACATAGTCAACTGTGCAGCTCAGTCCCAGACTGGGGCTTGAAAAACACACCAGGCACACGTGCAAGCATACCAAACCCCAGGAGGAGATTGCAGAAGTGAGGGCAGTATGGCCATCCTCCCTGAAGCGGGCTTTCTCATTTTTCCTCTCTCTCTCTCTTTCTCTCTCTGGCAAGCACATGAACCCTATAACAATTTTTTTTTTAAGAATTACTTTATATAACTTTATTTATTTATTTATTGGAGAGATTTTCACTATAGGGCACGTGCACTCGCCAGACAGAGAGAGACACATAGAGACAGAAAGCAAGAAATCACCCCCCAGGGGGGATGGTCACGCCACAATCCCTTCTCCTCCATTCTCCTCTCGGGATCTTGGGCACGCACGCACACGCGCCTGGCATGAGTTTTAAGCC